TTTTAAATAAATAAAATTATTGTTATTGTTGCCATAAGAGAAAAATAAACACATGAATTACCACCACTCTTATTAATAAATAATAAAACCAAACTCTATGTTTGTGAGTACCATTCATTAAACCAGCAGTTGTTTACTTCTTTACCTTGAGCATCAGTAATTGTGGTACCAATTAAACTTTTGTCTGTCTGTCTATCAAACCAATATGGCCACTGAAATTACTTGAAACTGACAAAAGTAATAACAGACAAATACATACTGAAAATTAACCAATAAAAATCAGGCACTGGTTTTGAATGTGGCCCAATGGAATCATTAAAAAAACGAACAAACAGGCCAAGACAAAGATGATGATACATGTAACTCAATATTTTGTTACCCAACTTTTGGTGGCAATTAAGTATTCATTAGAAGGAAGTTATTTACATCAAAATGACTTTTAGAAGTTATGTATTGGTTCTATAACATGGAATACTACACTTTTTTTGGATTGGTTATCTGTCTGTTTCCTGCAAAAACTACTTTGTACTAGGTCTGGGCCATGTCATATAATTCATGACAATACCGGTAAAAAAAAAACCTTGCTCAGGAAAGTACATTTTTACAGTTTTATGGATGGTGTAAATACCTCATCTAATCACCCACACACCGATTTTGAAATTGTAAAGATGAAACCAAATATGGCTCAAAGCATTACTGCTGAAGCGGAGCTATGTGGTAAGGCTTCCTGTGGCTGTTTGCCAACAAATAACTGGACACGTAATGATACCACTGCTGTTTTAGCCTGGTCATTGTCTTGCTTTGCAATTCTGTCAAAAAAAAAAGTAAAATATGTATGCTTTCTCCCCCTGACTTGGATTGTCTCCAGCCGATTTTTGACAGGACCAATCAGAAAACAAAAAGAGAAGTTGTGAATGAATGAATTGATAACCCCACCAAAGTCCAAGCCTCCAGACAGAAATGGTTTCTCAACATCCGAGAGCCTAGACCCTCTGGATGAAGCAAAGTGCACTACAAGGAGCTGGTTTTTACAATTCTACTACAACTCAGAACCAAAGAGAAGAAGCTAGTTAGCTTCAGCTGGTCACGTCTGCTAACTCTAAATGAATCAGTGGAAGCCGAAGTTGAAGGTGCTTATTGTTACGTGGCCCGAGTCAAATATTCCTTTAGGAAAAATATGAAACAGACTTCAGTCATTGTTGGTAAAGCAAAGAAAATGGCACTGGAGAAGAGGGTGGGGGGCGGTTCCAATTGCAGTTGCCGGAATATGAAAGTTACAATATGAAGTAAGGATTAACACTCACAGTGGAGATGTCAGTGACAGATAGATAAAAAAAAAAAAAAAAAAAAAAAAAAACAAGTATTCCTCATATTTAGAAAGTTCCTTCCTAATGGTGATATTTTGGTGTTAAGATTTACTTTTATATTATAACAAGATTCTTAGTCTTGCACATAAGGTTTACATTTTAAAAAAAGCATGACTGGGAAACACTTCTGTACATCTTATACAACTAATGTTCTATGTGTATATAAGTATTCGTATTTCCATCTGGTAGCTGATTTCAAACTCTTTTTGTTAGCCAAAATAGTACCCATTGTGTGATTTTGTATATATTTATGTATGAGTATTTTTAAATATAATGACTGTTTATGATGAAATGTAGGGAAAAAAAACTTTTCCCCAAAGAGAAAAAGAATAAAAATGTGGAAAATCATCTTATATTGTTATGTAAATGTTTAAAAAGATATGTGGTGATATCGTTTCTGGCAATATTGATCACCCCTATGTTGAATATTATGAGATTTTAAAGTAAAAACAACAGTTGTTGTGTTTTTAAAATAGGAAGTAGTGATTAAAATCTATTAAATTCATAATACTTTTAGTTATACGCAGTAATTAAAAGTATAAACCCATCCATAACCTTATGCTGTGTAATTTCCTCTTTTACACAACCTTGGTCTTCATGATGTTTACTTGTATTCTGAGAGAAATCTTCCTCTAAACCCCACCATCATTACCATCATTAGAAAAACATAATCAAATATTATCTTTGTTATGTTAATTGAGTATTAGAAAAATTACGACCTGTTTTTCTCTTTTGTGTCATTGCCATAATTCCAAAGTTTGATCAAAGCATTCCAGGTTTTAAAATGTTGTCCAAGCTGAGACTAAACAAGCATCCTTTTTAAATTTATGATCTGCTCGAGGACCTCAACAAGATGGAAGTGAAAAAGAAAGGGCGAGGACCATGTCCAGCACATGTGGTCACAGATTGAAACCATGAAACCACAATGGAAGAAGATGTGTTGAAACCAATAAGCTCTAACATGTTATTAGAATGCTTGCTCTCCGTCTCTGCCCAAAGTTTTATGTGTAGGGACAGACGGAAGCATTCTTGACTTGACTGAAGCTTTATCTGTTGAGATCCTCGCATTCACTAAGATACTTTAATAAAGTGGCACTTTTATTGAGTCCTGATGTACTTCAATCCCTTCCTTGACATGTCTGATTCCAGTTCCACATTCCACCTTCTTCCACTGCTTGAAAGTGGTTTAACTTTCAAGAAGCACAGATATTTGGGAAGATGGTTTTCCTCAGGATTTGTCTCACTCTGCCAAAATGAGTCCTTGCATCCAGTCTTTCAGTGGTTTGTTTTGAACATTACTCTTGATTTTAGAGAGAGGAATGCTAAAGCTTGCCAGACCTTTGAAGGTTATTGATGAAAAGCATATCCTCTTTTAGATCAAAAGGTTTAAATTTAGAACAGAATTTTTTTCTTCAACTTAGACAAGAACCAATTATGGAATTTCACATCATTAGCATTTAAAAAAGAAGCAACTGCCTCATTTTCACTGAGCAGTATGGCACTGGTCTAGGTGATTTGGTATGCTATTTCATGGTCTGACGTATCAATTGCCTATTGGACCCTCACCGGGCAGGCGGGGCTAAACCATAGTGTCATACTGGAGTGACAGCTAACTTGATGTAGTACTAGTATGTCTCATGCTTGTTCCAAGCCGTGATGTCTTTCTGTCATGCTGTGAATGAAATGAACTATGTTGTGTGATGCCAGCATATCCACCCTGACTGTGTCATTGTCCTATGGATCTACAATTGAAGTTGGCTCGGGAATGGTGGAGCATGTTGCTTTAACAACGGAAACAGATAAAATAGCATACTGAGCCAGTGAACAGAAGATGCTGTACTGTAGCATCTATACTGCAATGGCATGTATCCATCTCTTTCTTAAGGTTTAGACTTTCACTTGCAGCCATTTATTCTAATATATTCTAAGTGGCAGCTGGAATAATTGAGCTGTTTCATGATTCAAACTTTAGCTGTCAGACAAAAGGCCTCATAGTTGTCAATAGAATACAAATAGACTATAGCACTATTGGTCCTATGGTTGCCAGACCACCCATCCAACCATCCATTTGACCCCTCCTGTCCCTAACCCAACGTCTTGTTTGACAGTTGCTGTGATGTGTTTGTTATACCATGCCATATCATACCATACCATAACATACCATATCATATCATATCATATCATATCATACAGGCGCGTGCAGAGGGGGGTGCTTTGGGGGCTTGAACACCTGCCCCTTTTGCTCCATGGCCCCAAGTGCCCTTTTGGGTTTTTTTTTTTTTCCTTACACATGTACTACAATTATTACTATATTACTATTATTATTATTACTTTGCAATTACTTTGCGGTCACATTGTTACCTTTGACCTTTTGCCCGTGACGCACGACGCACTTGCCTCTCGCACGGTGAGATAAGGCGGCTAACTGCGGAGATCAAGCTAGCGACGTTCCAGATTACAAAACAGCTTTTGGTGAACTGAAAAAAATTATTTTTGGTGAAAACACTGGAGTCGGCTTGCTACTTGTCATATAACGGAAAACGTTAAATGTATCGTTTCTCCTTCAGCACGGAGTTGCGGTTTAAGCAGAAATGAAATATAACAAGACAGGCGTCTTAGAGAATATAAGTCTCTAAGTCCGCCTTTCTCTGAATAAACTGAGCGGGAGGAGACAGACAGGTGAGGAAAAGCTGTTCTTATCTATCGATCCAGTATTTTTATCATCAGACATTAGGCTGTTGTTGTGCTATGAGCTAGCTGCTAGCTAATGATTTTGCTAGCAAAGCAAGGCAACTAAATAGCTTCCCTGTATTGTTAATGACAGTAGTCATTCTTCAGTATTACTTATGCGATAGGGGCACATCGCCCGTCCAAAACCTATCATCTCCATAATGGATATATGTCCGATTTTCTAATTTTCTTTGGTGAATGATGTATATTGCATTTATTCTAGCGTTAGGTAAATGTATCTTGAAGGAGAATTTAAATAAAAGTCCAACAAGGATATTCATTTAGAATTAAAAATAACTCATCCTGAACTACCATGATAGATATAATGTATGTAATAATCAAACTGTTTCTGTCCAATAAAGCATGTCATTAATGAAGGGGCAAACATAAACTTTTATTTGCACACATCAGAAATCTTTGGTTTTGATTTTAGGCTCTTCCCAGACGTCATGTGAGAATCGCAAGCAAAACTTTGAATAGCAAGCAAAGATTTCTGACATGCACAAATAAGTTTGTTTGTTTTGCAAATAATTTTTTAAGTCATGAGATAAAAAATTGTGATTTCAGTTTTTTAAAAAAAATTAAGTTAAACATTTTTTTGTTCAAAAAAATGTTACAATTCAAAATGTCTTGATCACAATTTTATATTATTTAATTGAGGTTAGTATTTTAATTGAATAATTGTGAAACATATTGAACTCATAGGAGAGGTCTCATTTTCTCTGAAATTAATATTGTTATGCTATGGAGTGAAAAACATTGCTTTAAACACAAGGGTAAAGAATTGGTAGTGTGGTTTATTATAGTGTTCTGATCATAATTCTTTGTTTTGCTTTTTTCAGTTCAAAGATGCCACATAAAGAGAGACATCAGAAACAAAAAGAAAGGCAGTGGATTGTTGACCAACTGGGTCAACTGTACCAATCATTCACAGTGAGGTTATTAACATTCTTCAAGACATGACCAACAGAAAACTGTTGCTATGAACAAAAGAGAACAAAAACAGCAAAAAATGCTTAAAAGTTTGAAATTTGTTTTTAAACAGTTAAAAGGCAAGAGACTGAAATAAATAAGACTTCACTCAACACAAGAGAAGATGAGACAATGAGGAAAAAAAGAAAAGAGAAACTGACAAGAAAAAAAGAAGAGGAAAGATTGAAGAAAATGTACATAGGTACTTACAAAATACACTAAAACACAAATAGAGTAGTCTTTTCTCATAGTGACATGCATTAATTACATTTTTGCTTTTGTTTTTTTCCTGCAGTTCCACGATAAAGTTTGATGCAGCTCTGTTTTTCTGAATGGACCGTCTTCATCTCCACTGCAAGTACAGCAACCCAAGCAGATGTTCTTTGATTGTATGTCTCACAATTTTGTAATCTATCATTGTTAATTAAACTCTGAGAGCTGTGTGACTTTGTTCATATTCTGTCCTGAAATGTGATTTGATGTGCCCCTTTTTTTTTTTTTTTTGAGCACCTGCCCCTTTACTAGTCTCTGCACGGCCCTGATATCATCTCATCTCATCTCATCTCATCTCATCTCATCTCGTACCGTACCGTACCGTACTGTACCACACCACACCACACCACACCATACCATACCATACATACCAATACCAAACCACTTCAATTTTTAAAGCACTTTATAATAACTCAGTCTAAAAAGTGATGTACATATACACAATAAAAAAATGGACAAGCTAAACATAGACAAGTTAAAATAAACTACTAAAGTAGTTAAAAAAGTGCCACCCAATCAATGTGCAAAAGGCTTCAGCAAATAAAAATGTTTCAGTATTATTAAACTCAGAAAGAAAGAGGCCTTATGGGTATGAAAGTAAATATAAAAAGTCTGCCGCACTTTTTTATTTGTTAAACAATTTTAAAGCCATTTGTCGCTATCCTTCCTCTTAACAATTACACGGTACTTTATGCTGGTGTATGACATAATCTCAGTACGATATGATGCAGTTTCTGCCTCTAACAATACAAAATCTTAATAAAAACTTTAAGGTGTGTTAATACTTTCACAACTGACATACCAAAGTTTTAATCATCAATTGGTCAGAATTCAGGGCTCATCAGTCTATTTATTTTCCTGTAATGTATTGGAAAACAACTCAAGTAAAGAGATGTATTTGCAATCAAACAATTCAAAGTGTCCCCTTAAAGTATGTACAGCATAATATCACAGCAAATAGATGCTATCATAGCCATTTATTCAGTAGTAATAGAAACCCAGAGCATGTGTTGAGTAAAGCTTACACAGCAGATGGTGCATTTAAAACTGGACAAGCATTATTAACACACATAACGACACATGAGCAAGTTTCCTTCCAAACGCACCAACTGGAAGCTGACAGAATCAGAAGAACTTTGACAGGTGAAACCTTGACCTTAGTCCAAAGCTTCAAATCACCATGAGAAATCACTTTTAAGAGGCCCAGAGGGCTTTCTCTGCCTCCACCCACCTGCTCGCACACACACTGTGCAGAAGGGGTGTGATGTTTCTCTTCATCCACCTTTAGATAACAGGAAGTTCAGTTCAGCACTTAGACCATCTGCTTTTACAATGTTCAGATTATTTTAAATCAATAAGCACAATCTCTCAGCTCTTTGTATTTATCATATAGTTTGTGAAATGAAATATCTATAATCTGTTCCTTGCTTGGTTCTATTTAGCGTGGCTAATGAAACGGAAACTTATAAAATGTGATCATATTTTAAAAATTCAGAATGTAACATGGGTTTGATTACTTTTCTCACATTCGTCCACAGTTTTTCGGAGGCTTTTGTCTTTTAATGTTTGCTGTGTTTCCTTCTTTCCAACAAATCACTGCAACTTGGCTGAATATTGACCAATCCACTTTCCCTTTCTAATTTAACTTCTTGTTTCATGACACCTTATAAACCAAGATGAAAGCGTGTGTGAAACAAAACGGTAATATTTGCAGGGTTTTTTTGGAGGCGGGGGAGTAACCTTTTTAGAGATGTTCTGTAGGATTTGCTCCTACTGTGTTAACAATTCATGATTACTTAAACGAGCAACATGGGATTCTTCTTTTGCATTGTGACTTCTCCTCAGGATATGATTTAGTTTGTACAGATATTATTTTCAAAAAGGTACTTGCATATTAAATATTAACTATGTCAAAATCCTGATGAAGCCTCTGGTGAACATGAGATGTTTTTCATTCAATGTCCCTTTATGTGCTCCATATGTTATGACAAAAATAAAGCTTAAAAAAAAATCACTTTGACCACAGCTTTTTAAAAATGAAGCTGCAAAATCAGTAATTTTAGGCCGCACCAATCGCAAATCAACACTGCAACATCCAAGAGGCACTGATCTGAAACATTCAAGCTAATAAACCAGGTCAATCTGGAAGATCTCAAACACATGACAGGACTGTAGTATTTTATCAAACAGTAAACTTGGTGAAACTAAAATTTCATAATTCCTCTACATCTACTTGCAAAGAACTCACTCCGTCAAGATCTCACAGTAGGACCCGGATCACTTCAAGGACACCCACAAAGAGACCATACCCCGGAAACCATGGTATTATCCCCCTGGCAGAAGTCTATCTTCATCTCAAGTAAGATCAGTCTAATTCTTCCTGAATTACCACTTTCTGACGATCTCAAACTCACCATCTCTAGCTCACTGCTCTTCAGAGTATTGACAACCCTGGTTGCCAACCCCGAGGACAAGAACAAGGTTTTTTTTTTTGCATAGCTGAATGGTTGCCATGGAGATTAAAGGATTCCTCAAACATGAATGAAAGAATCATAGCAAAACTCCAGGTATGTTTTTAATGAAGGAATAACATTATAATAATAATACAAAAAATAATATTTTACATAACACTGCCCTTTTAAGAGGTTTTGAACAATTTTTATCTTTCAAGACTCTGCACTTATTTATGAACATGGCTCTCATAAAGTAGCAAATGACAAAGTTAACATAAAACCCAAATCCTGAAACACGACCAGGACATGAGGAGTTGGATTTTCAGTCCATAATAATTTTACTAGATGGAGCGAGTCAGCTAAAGAGGAGAGAGGGAGGGATAGGAGAGAGATGGTCTATCAGTGAGGAAGACAGATGGTGCATTAAAGCAGAGAGGAAAGGAGAAAATAAATTGGGCAAACTACAGAGTGAAAGCTAAACACTATGTAGAGTCCAGAGGGCCTTTTGAAACAGCAGGGTGATGAAACCTCCAGCGCCTGGCAGTGGGACAGAGCAAGGGCCAAGTAGCTCTGAGCGGCACAGCCAAGCCTTACATAACCGGCCACATCGCTCAGCGTTCTCCATGCCGTTCCCCTTAAAGGTAAAGGCACACCGACCGCAAGTCAGGGTGGCTCCATAGCCCTTTAAGAGCTCACAAGCTGCAATGTAACTGTTACATGCTCATGCTCATTCCACAATTAGACAACAATAAAACAAGCTCTGTGGTTATAAAGCTGCTGATTTTACAAGCACCAAATAGTTTCTGTGATCCTGCTTAGAACAAAACTTACTAATGATGTTGCTTTAACTGCAGTCTGGATGAGAGAGAAGCTTTCATTTTGTTCTCTATGCTTTGGACAGTAAGCAGAGAAACCAGCTGGAGAATAAGCCGAATGAAAAAAAAAAGATGGGTCTAAATGGGCACTATTAAAAAATATTTCTATAGCTTTAGCCCTTTTCCATCGTTTAGTCTCCGTGTCCTTTGTATTTCGTCACAAGATGAGTTGAACAGAAAGCAGTTTTAATGTTTTGGCAAAAAGAAAAAAAAAACTACGGGGAAAAAAAATCACATTTTTCTACAGGGAGCCATGAAGTTTTACAACAAAATTCCACGAAAAAGGAGCATGATTTCCTGTGGAATTCTGTACACTGGAAAACATTTGGTCCCAGGGCTGTGCTCAGAGAGGAGCACAGAGGTTGGTTTAGGAACCACTCAGTACTGGCTGGGAGCAGAGCAATGCAAGCTGAAACTCAATGATCTCTAGATTGTCTCAACCAACTTTAAAAAGTAAAAAGATTAACTTCAGAATGTTGTGTCAAAAACACTGGCAGCAGTTAAGTTTCTTTTTTAACATTCAAGTACAGTTCAGATTTACAACAGCTTCAACTCACATGGTACTTTCCAGAAAGTATGTAAACCTCAGAAGACGGCTAACCGAACCTTTTATGAGGGCCTGGGTGTGTCTGTAACTGCATTCTGCTCCACTTGTGTTGGGCAGCAGAGGGCGGATTGACTGGTGCCATATAACATAATGGGAGGGTGGGCAGAGATTGATGGAAACCAGTGGCGTCATCAGGAACGGATGGAGAAAGTTGACGGAAACTTGAAATAACTCTTCATTTACTTTGAGGAAACTTCCAAGGCAAACAGGATGGATACGAGCAATTATTGCAGAGATTTACAGAGGATGGATTAAGGTTGATGCTGTAGAAACTGCAGCAGTAAAAATATGCAGTGAGAATTGAAAAATAAAACAGCTTAGGATAAAATCGCTGTGGAAAAGTGCTGAGCCATCTCTTAATGACTGAGCATTTGTGTCCAACAACAAGAGAAGAAAAGAAAAACAAAACAAAAAACTACTGTAGGGAGTCCATAAGATTCCGGTACCTTATTGGCTACTCCAAGTCAGCCAAAGTTTCCCAGATACTCTGGGAATCTATTGCAAAGATTTTAATCTAGATTTCTAAAGGTCTTTTTCGGTTTTTAAGAGTGCTCATTTTTAACATGAACCAATTCAAAACTGAATAATTTCAAAATACAACTGTATCTTAGTTAGTCCTGTTGCAATAAGCAATAAGTCAATAAGCTTGATAATAAAAGGAAGGCGATAATAATCGCTTGTTTGCTCTTATGTAAAGAGGATGACAAAAAGCTTCATCTCGCTGCCTTGAGTTATTTCTCCCCTCTCGTTTCTATCTGCATACTGCAGAACCTTTCATTGTGTTGGACCAGCATGGCGGCGCTCTGGAGGAGATCCCTGTATCTCTGTTTCCTCAGGTCGGTCGCGTTAACATTACGATATCGTGACACAATGATTAGCTTGTTGTTTAATGCATGGCACCTGCTTTGATTTATTTAGCAGACAAACATGAGTTTGTCTTCATGACCGAATACACAGGACGCTACAGCAACAATAGCGACAAAAGTTGAACAATTTCCAACTTTCTTATGTCATGTTGCTAGCTGTCCACATCTCGGCTGGACGAGGCAAAGCGAATGTCACCTCACCGCGCAAGCAGCCCTGTGACACTGACATTGTCTCAAACGACAATATTATCATTTATTGACATAAGTTATGGGACAATTAATTGCCCAGAAAAATTTGATATTGTGACATGCCTAATCTCACTAAATTAGAATATCATCAGAAAATCTCATTAATTTCAAGTTTTTACT